TCTATCTATCTATCTATACACTTTCCGTCTTTCCTGTTTAGTTTAGACTCAGAAACCTCTTGCGTGCTCACCATTTGGACAAGCAACCCGGCTTAGACCATGTGTTGCGGGCGTTGGCTATCCACAGGAAGAAAGCTTCACATGGTTTGTCGTCTCCCAGCTAGTGGTTGGACGACAGTGCGTGACAAGGAAAACTTATGCCTGAGTGTCACACTCGCACATTCGTACACGGGTGTTGAAAATATTGATATGTACAATGGATTTGAGGGGTGGGGCCAATTTGAATGGGGTTGGAAGGGTTTTGACAGCTTGGAAGCCCAAAGATAGCAGTCATGTTTTGAGTTTTGACACAGGCTTGCCAATAAAGATTACATTTTCAACACCCAGGAACAGCAAAGAAATTCTTAAGTAAAGGTTGCTCCGCGAGGACAACCAGTTCCATCCGCACGAGCCCACCAGCTCAACGACTCGAACTCGAGCGTACGTTCGATCGATGGGCGGCTGCAACACGGGGGGGCGTTGGTTGAAAAACGCTTCGGAGAACGGCACCGGATGTACCGGCGCCCTTAGACCGGATGTACAGCTAATATTGGATCTCCAGAGTTTGGAGGGATCAGGAACTACACTGCTACAGTCTCTCATCTACAACTGGTTGGACTGGGTCGGAGATTCCTCCCGCCTGTGCAGGTGGTGGATCAGCACCTGGGATCACGGACACGTCGCACGTCAGAAATGTTCTGCCCCTCATCGACAAAAGTTCGCCCCAGAATCGACGACATTCGGTGTTCAGAGATGTTCAGAGTCCAAAGTCATGAACTGAAGAAAGAGTTCTTCGCTCGTTACGAGCTCCCTGCGACTGTTACGAACGACAGCCCAGCTGCGCAGCACTGCCCAGCACTGGCATTCCAGCACTCCAGCACTCCAGCGCACTCCAGCACTGTGCAGGTCATCTTTCTGATTCCGGGCCTGTGGGATCTGCGGGTGCTTCTTGTGCCAAAGCCACCACATCAGGATCCTCCCGCCATGCCTTCAACATCGGGAGGTGCCCGGGCACACGGTTTGTGGCAAGTATGAGATCGCGGAACAGGGAGATTCAGAGACGAATCAGAGTTCCAAATGGCTCCCTTGGGCCTTTTGGGGTCCAAAATGATGATCAAATATCTAGCAGCATGCATACAGGTCAAAACGCATGTGTGTTTGTCAATATCACTTCTTTTGCCCTTCATGCTGCTAGATCACTCACGTAAACCATTCATGCCACCAATGAATGTTCTTGTACATTCGTTTCTCACGACTCACTTGTTGCTGTAATTAGCTTGCAAATGGCTCTCTTCCAAGCAAACTGCCCAGTCTGATTCCCTTCGCTTCGCTTGGTCGCTCACCAGTCGTTTCGCGCCTTTCCGTCGTAGAGCATCCAACCCTTCGGCAAAAGGTGAGGGCTGGGAGCTCCCTTGGTGCGTGGGTGGAAGACATAGCCTCAGCCACAAATGCTGAGATGCGCGCGTGGGCCCATGCTTCGGCGCGTTTTTGGGTGGCAAAAATTCGGCAGGCAGGGCCAAGGTCATCAAACTTGTTGCTAGCTACGAGTTGGTGACCCAAAAACGGCAAAGATATCCAGTTTTCCTTCAGCTTTGCCTGTCCTTTTTTTGCCAAGACACTGTTCTTGCAATTGAAGTCCTGCTCGAACTCACTCTTGCCTCCAACACCCCAAGCCTTGTCCTTAGAGTCCGGGTTGCAGCGTCTGAAAACATGATTCTGGACACCTGTGGATTTCGGACATTCAAATCTTTCGATTTCCAACACCTAACCATGGGCATTCATATTCATATATGCCAGCATGTTCCACAGAATAGTCTTCAGAAAGATGAGAACCACAATTCCTATGGCTCAAAAACGAAGCTCCAAACCGCTCCGAGTGGCTGTCGTGAGGTAGATCCATCGTTCACCCCCACGCTTCTTCCAAACCGCTTGGTCATTGGCCGTTTTGTCCTTGACCAAGTCCTCGGGGACGACCCCGGGAGGACGAGGGAAGGATCTGGCGTTCCTGTGTTTCTTGCTGGATTCAGTCTCCCGCTGGCAGACAGCTAAGCCAAGCACAAAGGTGCCATCGCAATCTTTTTGCCAATTCGGACACCTAGGTGTCTGGCACAAACACCGGAGTTCTGATGACTCGACACATGGGGTTTAAGGTCAAAACCTTGGATCTCCAAACCAGGGTAGGTTGATCTCCAAACCAGGTCGTCCATTCGGGTTTATTTGCGGTCCACCCCTTCCAAGTCGCGACATGTGGGGCTGCGAAGTTTGAGGATTTGGATCACATATGGGTTTTTGCGTCTTCGTTCCCTTTCTTTGCAACCCTCAAAGGGAACCGCCCGGAATTGGCAAAGTGCATTAAGCCATCGAAGGACCCAACAAGACAGCTATGTCCAGTTGCCGGAAGTTAAAGTTGAAGAGGTGGGACACCCATGGACTCCGTCGACGGATGAAGTCGGTCAAGCCCAAAGCCCAAACGGACCATATGGACCATCGAGCCTAAAGCGTTTAACCCCCGCCAAACCATCAAACCATGCGGTCAGACAGCTCGCTGAGAAACAACAGCAAACATCTGCCATGGTATAGAGTACAGCAGCCTAATTTTCACACCTGCAAACACCAAACGAATGTCCGCACAAAAAAGAAGTTGTTTGCTGTGCCAGGCAGTCTGCAGTGCTGTGTTCTATACCGAAGGTAGCCAAACCAGACATTCTTGCAGGTTGTAATCAAAAAGTTCCAGACTACAAAAAGGTACATAAACAAATACGCCGTACAGTTCGGGACGGCTGTGAATGAGCAGGCACGGCCCTATTTTAGGGAACGGCCCCCGGTGCTGAGGGCGATGTTGAGGGCAGCTCAGAGGTGCTCGGATACTTTCTCATTCGGAGAGTAAGTGAAGGTCAAAACACGTGTGCAAAGCATCAGGTGTGCAAAGCATCAGGTGTGCAATAACATGTGTGCAATAACATGTGTGCAAAGCATCAGGTGTGCCATTGTTCTGATTCCATCACTTTAGCTTCCAAGTACTAAAAACCCTTTAGCCAGAACCTCCTTCGTTGACGTCGCTCGTGGCTGGGTCGAGCAAACTGGCTGAAAACCGCTGCAGCTCAGTGGCCGAAAAATCAGCACGGGTGGGGGGCCAGGTGGAGCGGCCTCGGGTCAGCGGTATCAAGTTGTTGAGGCGTTCGTTGAGGTGTTCGTCTTTTGTTTTCGTCTTGTTCTGTTGGGTATAAACGTTCAGAGGGGTAGCTTACCCTAGGTCAACTTAGGTCAACTCTGACTACCTTTTCTTTCAGCAGGATTTTTGTATGTTCTGTCAGCATCTGGTTTTTTTCGTGCTCCAAAGTACTTGTTGCTATTGCTGTGTTCATCAAGGCTGCTGTTGGAGACCTCCCATCCAATCACACTTTTATGGAGCTGGTCTTGCTGATTAAACCATTGATGGACCCCCAACAATTGAAGCCTTCATGCGAAGCCTTTCATGTATTTTCCAAGTCAACATCAGGGTTCTTGATCCCACCCACCAACCACCAACATCCCTGGAATGGCATGGCGGCCAAGGTCCGATGACGACTCCGCATACCAAAGAGGTGGTGAAAACACCCACTTCCATGGTGAAATGAACGCTTCAGGAGCGTGCCAAACCAACCTACCAGCGCCAGTCAACGCTGATTTCGCCACCGCTGATTTCGCCGGTGATTTCCGCCGTGCCTTGAGGGGATCCTGAAGTGGAGTGGCCTGGTACTGACTGGGCGAGCCCAGCATCTCACATAAGAATGAAGGTGAGGAACCGCTACAAATCTGCCTTGCACCACCTTTCCATAGTCCATGAGGGTCTAACTTCCTCAAAATGCAAGGGAGTCTATCACCAAACCATGAGGTTTTCTCAACAAAATGGTTCCCATCAAAGCATGGTCAGGAAGATGGCCTCATGAATGTTTTAGACAGTGCCCTGATCTATCTCAGGCAGGTACTAGTTCGGCCCACCCCAGCAGAAACGTCTCGTCTTTTTGGTTTGGATTGTTCTCTCAGCCTCTTTCTATTGCTGCCGTGCTTTATGTCATTTGAGATTCTTATAATGTCAGGGAAACGACCGGATGGAGCACGGTTGGAAAGGAGCAATTGAGCCTTGGTTGGAAAGGATGGCCTGAGAACGCCGATGGCGAGAAAACCTGGAGAAGGCCACGGCACCGGCCTGTTGGAGAGGCTCCTGAACCGGGGTGGGCACCTGTCAAGTGATTGCACCATTCAACGGGCCAGGCCATTTTTGTCACAGTGGGTGTCACAGTGAGTGGTAGTAAGATGTGTCGACGAGATTTGCCAAGAAAGACTTCCCTCGAGACCCGGGAAGGCATGTGGCACCAAAACATGGGTCGCCCGAACAATGTGGTTTTGCTTCATTAAGATACTGTACATACATAATATGATACAATACAGTATAATATAGTAATAACATTTATATTATACATCATATACATAGTATAATCTAATTAGTATGAGACAATGCAATACAATAGAATACAATACAATACAATAGAATACAATACAATACAACACAATACAACATATATATATATATATATATATCAACCACTTTTGAAAACACATGAGCTTGACATCTCCATCTCCGTCGGCTGCGAGCCGTCTCGGCGCCCGAGCCGAGCCGCCTCGCTCGGACCCGCTCGGTGGACCCGCCCGTGTTGGGATCCGAAACAGAGGGTGTCGTTTTGCCGTTCAAGTGACCTTCAGTGAAGGTCACAGAGTCCATTTCGTGAGAAGACGTTCCAAGAGAAACCACATGAAACCACACACGGTGAACGTCTCCGGCAGCCTGCTTGATAGGATCCTGAACTGGAGTGACCTGTGGTCATGAGCGGCCGACTCAGCAGTGGACTCAGCATGAGCACTACAGCACCAAAACAAGGCAGAGAAACAACAACATTTAACAACATATTCTTGGGGGAACACTGCTTCGCTCTCACACACCCTGGTTCTAACCCCCAAACCTACCAACCCCACCACCTCTCTCCTGTTGTGTCGCGTTGACCAGTGCCGCCAGGTGCCTTAGTGGTTGCCACCGGGTCCGTCTCGGCCTGGAAGGCCTAGCGGAGCAGTGCGGAGCCAGCGGAGCGGTGCAAGACTTGTGGAGCCGAATGGAGCGGAATCGGCGTGACCTTGGGTTTTGGGGGTGAACAGTGTCATGGCCGGACGGTATGGGTGGTCCAGCAGAAGCCGGTCGAGACATTCTGAAGCACCGAAGTCTGCAAGCGTTCGCTCCATCCACTGGATGGTCTTCAGTGGCTATGACGCATCCCTCATGCGTCGCACCTGGATTCAATGCCTACCCCACCCCTGCAGTTACGGGGATGAGTGGACCGGGTGTGGACCGTCAAAAGTTGGAAATCCGCCGACCCCTGCTCTGGCGAAGGCAGGGGCGGCGTCTGGGACCATCGAAGGTGTCGAACCTTCGCTTTTGTCAAGGGCTGCTCCAAAAACTCGCACTTGCTAGACTGTGGGCTCTGGGCTCTGTGCGGGACTGTGGGCGGAGTTGCGCAGACTGTGGGCTC